AGAGGGTGTTCAGCATTAATCCTGAAAACATCAAGGAGTTCTTGCGATGGGATATGATCGATAATAGCATCGTCGAGATCTTTATGAGGTATACTTACATCTTAATTTTAGACACTCAATTAGTTATGTATTCACGTATAATGAGTTATGTATTTGTATCTGTGTGTATGACTTATCTACAATGCACATATATATTATACTATTCGAAGACACTTGTATGGCTACATGAGGACCCACGACATTCAGAATGTCGGGTTAGTGTGTCCGGACGATCTCCAGCATATGGTAAAAAATGGAAACCGTAAACCAGTGGAAAGGATGTTGCTAGATCATAAAGAAAAATCTTGGGTTCTTCTTCCATTCTTCTGTGAGAGAACGTATGTAATCTATACTTGATTTTATAACCTATTATGGTTAGTAGATTTTTTTGGTTTATAATTAAGTAATAAGGTTTTGTATTAATTGCAGACATCATTATACATTGATAGTAATACGTTATTATGAAAATAAAGTGCATTACTTCAACTCAGCATTGGGGACGGGGACTTCCAAGAATCTTACACTGAAGAGTTACATAAACGAGTAAGTGTATATTATCTTTATTTTATGCAATTGCTATTTGAATTGTGTTTTCTCATGTATTACTCAAATGATGGTTACTTATTTTAAAATTTGATCGAAGAGCTTGGAGGATCCTTCGAGTACAGGGGATGGGTTTTCTTAAACTGAAACCCACGTGGACTGATGTCGGTATCGTACCACAACAATCCGGTGGAACAGAGTGTGGGTATTATGTCATGAGGTTTATGTGGCTAATCATCAGTCTTTGTGCCCGTGAATCCGTTCCAATAGAAACGGTAAGTTACTACTTTGAATGGAAAGAAATTTGCCTTTTATGCTAATTTTGTGGAGAGGTAATTTGCAAGGGTTAGTCTTTAATTATTGTATGGGTTTTCTTGATGGTGTTGTAATGACTTTTTATACTCATCATCATAATGAATATCACTTATTTTCCTATCAAAGATGATTTCTTTTGATTTCTTTTCTTTTTTTTTTTGTTTTTGTTTTTATAGGTGTTCAACTCTTTTGATCCGTATACGATTGAACAACTTGAAGAGTTACGAGAGATGTGGGCAAACACCTTTCTAGATGAGTTAGTGAATTAGCCACTCTATCCCTAGTGACAAACAAATTTAGTTTAATTTGGTATACTTTTTAACCCGTTTTGTTAGTTGGACACAACTTTGTGTTGTAAGTTGTGTAGTATTTTAAATCCTTTTACATTTTGGTGGATGTATACAATGAAATTTAAATTGTCCTTCAATGTTTGAGACTTATATCTCTTATAAGTAGTGCTGTCTGGTACATGAATGTGTAGTTTCTGTACTGTTGCTTCATTGTGTAGAATTATTGCTGTTTTTGTAAAATATTAAAAAAAATCTTATATCAAAGGCACTGGTTGTTTAGTAAATACCGATGCAAATACATTTCAAAATATTTTTTGAAATTTATAATATTGAGCAACGGCATCGGTTTTTCTTGAAAACCCGATGCAAATACCGTTTTCTAAATATTTTTTTAAAAAATAAATATCGCAAAGGCACTGGTTGTTCCTGGCACACCGATGCAATTGCGGATTTTTTAAAAAAAATTCGAAAATTAAATGCTCAAAGGCATCGGTTTTTGCTGAACCACCGATGCTAATTCTCTATTTTAAATTTCGGTTTTTACCAAAAGCATCGGTTGTTTGTCTACAACCGATGCTAATACTATTTTTTTATTATAAAAAAAGCAAAGGCATCGGTTATTTGTAACCAACCGATGCTAATACTCCCTTTTTTTCTAATTAATAAAATAGCAAAGGCACCGGTTGTTTCTAAAGGCGATGCAATTGATTTTGACCAATTGCATCGCTCGTATTTGCATCGGTACAAAATCGATGCTAAAGGTACAAAACAACCGGTGCCTTTGCCCTGTTTTGTAGTAGTGAGGTTAAAGTCTCTGTGACCCTTGTGCTTCCTGGAATGGGTGAGCATACCATTCCTTGTTCGACTGAGCATATAGAGACTGTCGCCGATTGCGAGGGGAGCTTCGTTGCATGGCCAAAGTCGTTGGTGGGCCTTGGAGATGTAAGAAGTAAATAAATTTAGTTCTTTCTTATTCAACATCATTTGGGCTGTGTTTCATATATCTTTTTTTTTGAAAATATTCGTAGCCCCCGGTGCACACGGCTCGACATGGCGACTTCTCATCAAGCAAATCTCATCCTATTCTCGGCGTACGCCCCACTGCTCCTCCTAGCTCTCCCGTACAGGATGTTGTTGACTGGAGCTCATACGTCTCACTCGGGCCGAGGTGCAGAGAGTTGTGTTAGTGGCTGACACGCACATCTGCTTTGCCTACCATCAGCGTCATTCTCGATCCCGAGTCCATGCTCTATCCGGAGGACACGGAGCTGAGGATGCATCCACAGAATATACGTGAGTTCATGCGATGGGAGGAGGTCGATCAGACCATCATCATTGTTTTCTTGAGGTATGTCAAGCACTACGTACGAATAAATTACTATTGTAAATTATAATTATTTGTTATAATTGTAATTATTATTTACATGTGAAATTACTAGATTGTTGCACGATCATATGATGGAGCACGACATCACGACTGTTGGGTTGTTAGGTCCAGAGAACATGGCGTACGTGGTAGATTTTGGAGATCACCAGTATTTGGATAGAGCACTCGAGACCTATCACCCTGGATACTTATGTCGTTGTATCTATCGATATCGTATGTTTTCTAAACCATTTCCAATATGTATTTTGGTTTTTTATTTTAAGTTAGTGACTAACGCTTTATCAATTGTAGGCATCATTGGGTGTTAGTTGTAATATGTTTGTTTGAAAACAAAGTGTATCTCCTAAACTCAATCAAGGCGACCGGAGGGCATAAGAAAATGAAGGTGAAGACTTTCGTCAACGAGTAAGTATTAAGAAATTTATTTCTTATTAATGAAATTCTTTATTTGTTAAGATATTAACTTCTTATTAATTTGTTGTTTACATATATTAAAGGTCTTGGCAGTTACTTCGGGAACGGCACATACCTCAGCTTAAGGCTTGACCGGATTGGGTTGATGTTCCCGGAGTACCCCAACAAGTAGGGGGTGTTGAGTGTGGTTATTATACCATGCGATTTTAATGGCTCATCGTCACTATGTGTGCACAAAGTTCTTTACCGTTATCCGATGTAAGTTTATTTTAGTGTGTTTTTGAAAGTAATGAAGTCTTTATCATCATTTTCTTTTTCATAGATTATTAAACTTTATGTTGTATGTTGTTTTCGTATTGCAGGTGTTTCAGTCTACTTCGCCTTATACTAGAGCCGAATAAGAAGAGGTTAGAGAGTTTTGGGCGGGGGGGCGGGGGGGGGGGGGTTTCTCGATGAACTAGTGTAAGTTTGTGTTGTATTGTATAGTATGGTATTAAATGTATGTTAGTAGAGTGTAGTTGTTTGACTCTTGATATTTTTTAAGATGTACAAGTAATGGATGCAAATGTTTTTTTTGGTTTAAATATATATTAACATATTATATAATATATAAATATATACTCATATAATATATAATATTAAATTTTTAGTTATACATTCATTATTCATATAAATATAAAATATATAATCATATAAATATATAATCATATTCTCATATATTAATTTGTTATAAAATAATATTATACTTTTGAAATTCAATATATAATTAATATTATGAATATTTTAATATAGTCCTTTTTTATCAAAAAAATATAATTTAAAATGTCAAGAGAGTCAGGTAGAAGGTCCGTGGATATGGGCGCCGTGAACCGAAGTTCGAGGAGAGGCAAAGCTATAAAGCCACCTGACGTGCGGTCCAAAAACAAATTAAAAAATTATAAAATATCCTTAACTAACCCCCAAAATATAATCAAATAAAAACTATAGCTAGGGCAAGTAAGGGTCGATCCCACGGAGAAAGTTTGTACTTTTTAAAATCAAATTAGCATGCAAACACATTGTCACTAAAATAAAACAAACTAACTACTACACATATGATAAGACGTATAAAACTTATAATAAAACTTATAACTAAAAACATATAAAAACTTATAAATATAACTTTTATAAACAAATTAGACTTATAGATAAGCTTAGTAAAAAACTTATATAATAACTTAAAACACAAAAAGGGGGGGGGGGGGTTTGAATAAAAAGTAAATATTTTTTGGTTTTTTATATTTTCTTATTTTTTGGTTTTTTTTGATAGAATGGGGGAAACATGCTCAAAAGATAATCAACTTTTCCAACTTAGGTAACCCAAGAAACACCGCCAAAAACCCGTAACAAAATTAAAAAGAGAACGAACACAAAACGAACATTACACGTATAATAGGCACTTAGACAATATATTACGTAACTTATGCACTTAAGAATAGAAAAGAACTCAAAGGCTCGAGTTGATTCATATCCTTGACCACATATGGAGGATTGTCAACTCTCTATAAGGCCCGGAGTCAAAGATTCAAAGGCCTTTTGGTTACTTTGAACCCCCACTCACCTCAAGCGCTCAAACAATGATTCCAAAAGATGAAAAAGTTTATAAAAGAGCGAATCTTTCTTTCATTCTAACTCCCATGCACAAAGTATTCATGAAGAACATTTGATACACTTTAATAAACTTTAACGTCTAATGATGAAAATATTTTGCAGGTCTCCTTGAACAACTCAAGCATAAGAATTGTAATCTATTCACATAAAAGAACATTACATATTTTCATTAAATCAAGAGTTGTTTATTGCGCTTAAACAATCCCAATTTTTGTGAAAATAACAAGAACACCAAGACATAAACAATCACTCTATAACGAATCTTAAGGAAAACG